TCCTCACTAATAGTGACATGAGCTGAGGTTTAAACTATGGTAGTTGTACTTTTTGTGCATGCGTGACTGTAATGTGCTGCAGTTTTATCAATGGGAGAGCGCTGTAAGAGCTAACTTTAATAGCTCCACATAATGTTTCCCCACACAAATGCAAGCTGGCATCTATAGGTAGCAGCCGAGATGAACCAATGTCTTGTGTGGCTACTGCTTATTACAGGGGGGAAGACTACTGGGCGTGTGCTCGCTAGCCAGTAGCATTAATTTTTTATTTATTGCTAGCTAGCAGCATTAGCGTTAACGGCTAACCTTAGCTACGAATCACATTGCGTAACTGACCATTATTATCCCTGAGCAGTCAATGGTCCAAGTGTATTTAAAAAATGATGCCAAATGGTGTGAATTCAGTTCATAAGCATTCACACAGTGCACCGGGACGCCTTTATGGCAATATATAATAATTCACAGACTAAACTAAATCGTATGTTTGACTGCTCGAAAAGACAGCATTCTGTGCTTTTTTTTTTTTTTTTGTCAATTCGGCTCATTCAACAATTTAATAGTCAGCAACCAGCGATTACCAGAAGAAGGACAGTCCACTCACCAGCGATTCCCTCGGCCCCACAAGCAGCTATGCTCCTCTGTAATGTAACGTTATTTCTTCACACACTCGGAGTACTACAAGGGTTTACAAAGCCACAAGCCCACCCAACGCTCAAACCACCGTTCTGAACACAAAATCCGCCTTATCTTAACGTAACCAAACCCCTGCTGCAAGACGACCTCATCATACAACCCCGCCTATGACACTGACGATTGAGGCGGGTGTGATTGAAAGAAATCTCGCTTGGTCTCAGTTAGAAACACCGGCAGAAAAGGTCGATACACGCAGAAGGTAACTATCTGACAGTGGTGTCCTTGACAGAGGAGGCAGGAGACCCCAAGAGGGGCTTTTCTCAAAAAAAAAAGCGTCGTCGTTGGCAGTCAGCACGATTCGCACGTAAACGTCCACTAGTCCACGACCACCAGTATCTAGACCCCACCTCCTCCCAGTCGCTCGGCACACACAGACTGGAGCGAGTGGCTCTGCTCGGGGGGTTTAAAGACAACGTGTACGAGGGGAGTGATGCTATGCTGAAAGAGGGAGGGGATGCTGGCTGCACTTGGTCACGTAGCTGATTGCAAAGAAAAATAATGGTACAATTTAGAACCAACACTGGGTCTTTAGCTTGAGGCCACGGGATAAAAAGTATCAAATAGTCCAAATAAATTAACCATAATAAAAGTACCAAAACCCAGCCCACAGTGTAAACTAACACAACCAAAGCAACAAAATTCTATAGCCTATAAAATAACAAAAATATAATTTGTAGCAATAATAAATCAAGTTATGGAAGGAGCCATTAGGACTAATATAAAAATCAAAATTCCATTGTTGTTGTAGTAGTTAACCTAACAGTATATTAAAAGTATAGTATGACTCACCAGATACAGGGTCTAAATCTCTCATAAATATACTACTAGGCTTTTGTTTTGCAGAAAATAAATATTTTACTAACATATAGAGAGAAACAGAAAACAATGAACATATTACATCAACAAACAAAACAACAACAAAGAAAAGAACTGCAATATGAAAACAGTATATCTTTTAAAATTCAGTATTTGTATCTATTTATACAAATTCAAAATAAAGCCTTTGGGGTATTTTAATGGTTCTGAATTAAAAGGTATTTAAAAGGGTCTACCGAAGAAAATTTGCATTTTCAGAAATGTTTATCAATTTGCATTGCCCCTCTGAAAATAAAAAGAATTTTAAATAGCAGAAAAATGTTATCAAGAAAATGTATTTACAGTATTGTGTAAAAAAAAAACCTATTTAAACTCTCAAAAGTAAAAACATTCAGAATAGCTCCTTTCAGTGTGTTATATTTTTATCAGAATATCAATATGTGTATTTTAGTTTTGTAGCTGGTTGAGGTAGAGATTTTAACTTCTTATACTGTTGGTTAGCATAATTCTTACAGGACATATTATTTATTGATCATATGTTTTGTATTTATAATCACAATCTGAAAAGTAACTGTAACAGTCAAATAAATGCAATGGTGTAAAAGTAAAATATTTTCCTCTGAAAACTATTGAGACAAAGTATAAAGTACCTTGACTATTGCAGAAATGTATGACTTAAGTAAATGCACTTGATTACTTTACATTATTGAAATACAAAGGGTTATTATAACACTTAGATATGATGTTGTGACTTTAACTTACTTATTACTTTAATAGCTGAATGGTAAAGAAGTCATTTAGTAGTCCTAATACTTTATGGATTGTTATAAGTTATGAGTTGTCAAGTTGTAAAAATTCTTTCTGGCTGTTGTTTATCCTTGTGCTATGCTTTGCCTTTTTAATTATCACTTTCATTCACTAGTTGGTGAGCAGTGCTCACCAATGTACAGATTGACAATCTGATTTACATTTGTTGGATGCCTGCTTTTTAGAAAGTGCAAAACCTAAGACCGTTTGTAATGACTTAATTAATTTAGCAGACTTGATGTTTCATTAGCAAAACCAACATTTATAAAGCCAAAAGGGGTTTTTCACAGCTTAGCACATTTTTAAGGTGAATTTCTTTACCAAACTCAACCTTTATTTTTAACTGTAGTAGTTGCATTAGCAGAAAGCAGCATCTGCTGTAATGTACTGACTGTCTTTCTCAATGGGGATGGTGATGATAGTCATTCTTCCCTCTTTCAATGAGAGTTGAATAAGAGTCATACAACAGTAATGTCTCCAGACTGCCTCATTAAGTATGCCAGTTATCTTTAGGACTACTTAATTTTGTCAATTACTGTACAATAAAGGCAGTGTTGGTTTGTTCTGAAACATGTGACATGTTTTTCTGGCAATGTAACAAAATAAACTGTGCCTAAAAAGTTAACTATATCTGAATCTGAGCAGAAAGCTGCCCACATTTAATATGATCTCAACAGAGTTACAGATATTTTTAGTAGGAAATTCAAACTCCATCCAGCTACCAGTTTGGGAGAGATCAACAGAGAAGGTGGACATTCACTCAGTGCAAATAACTTCATTTTCCCAGGTGAGGGACATAAAACAACTCTTGAAATCGGTAAAACATACTGATTTTGTCCCATTATCTTCAAGGTCAGTTGCACAACTACATATCAAAATAATCTACAGGTGTTTAAAATGCAGATGTGTTTTACTTGTTCAGATGATAGTGTTATCCAACTTAAATTATATTATATGATATTATATTTTCACAGCTAAAGACATTAGGCTTGGCTACAAAACCACAATCGGTTCTCAGTACCCCTATCTCTGTGTGTACTGCAGTGCAAGGAGGCCTACATGTGTTTAGCAACATTTTGCCCTTTTATATCATCTGAGGTATGAAAAATACCAGATATGATTCTAGACTAGACTTGTTTATCGAGTCAAAATTAGAGCACATATTTGATAATGACAATTTGGTAGACTGTCCATGTAGACTGATACATGTCATTTATTACCTCATGTTTAACAAGATTACCACTAATAGGCAAAATACTGAGAGCCGCAAGCTTATCCAACAGAGACCAGCACTTGCCAGTGTTTCATTATGATCTTGTAGGTTTAACAGAAAATCTGTGTATTTTATCAATACTTCTTTAAAAGTTAGTTCTACTCATAAGACACGAAATTGCTCTGTTTTATGATTTTAAGTGTGAGTGTTCTACTTCTACTTCCCTTCTGATACATTTCTTTTACACCCTTACTGTGTCTCATGAAAGGACAGTATTTCCGCACACTAATAGTAGCTCAACAATATTATTAAAATAAGATTTTTTTATGATAAAAATCATGTTGTTAACAAGACTATTAGTGTTCATCTTTTACAATCAAACGTTTGCTCACAGCACCTGAGAGTCAAAGGTGTGGGACGCTGTTGTGACACCTATGCTAAAACTGACTGCCAACTTTCAACACACACACACACACACACACACACACATATACTTCAGCACTTCCTCCTAAGAAATATGAATACCGTATCCAGGAAGCCACACTTTGGCCACCTAGCCCGGCACTTCATTTCCTTTGAAACTAGTGGAAGAGCACAACCATTCCCTGATGCACATCACTATGAGCGCATGTCAATGAGGTGCAAATGACAGGGGTGCATTGTGAGATGGGCGCAGAGTGGGAGTGCCATGTGACGGTCCTGAATGGGCACCCGGGGGTGGGCCAGGGGGAAAGGATGGCAGCACCCACAAAGGCCCATTGAAGGATTGTAGACTAGGTACAAGACTGGCACTGGTCCTCCTTCCCTTCCATGGGACAGCAGGAGGAGGCTGCTGCTTGGTACTCACTGAATGGAGGGATTATTTCAGAAGAATTGGAGAGAGGAGGTTTATTATCACCATGTCCAGTTCTACTGTCTTGTGTGATTTACCACTGTGTCTTCTTCATACCGTGTAGAATAGGCCACTGTGTTGCCAGCACAATAAATAAATAAATAAATATATAGATAGCCAATGTAGCTTTCATACAGTCTAAATTGTTAACATTTTTTGATTTAGTGGGATATAAGACTGCTGTGTTTATGTATAAAGCCAGGAACAATTTATTACCTGGTGGAATTCAAAAACTATTTAATGAAAGGGAAGGGGGATACAATTTAAGGGGTCAGTTAAATTTAAAAAATTCATGCTACACGTACAACCAAAAAAAAAATGTTGTATTTCCATAAGTGGGGTAAAACTATGGAATAATTTAAGTGCGGACATAAAAAAATAGTAATAGAATCGACGAGTTTAAACACAAATATAAAAGTATGTGTCAATCAAGATATATGCAAGAACAGGCTCAATGATTAACTAGATGGAACATTGTGGGTGTGGTGTATGAATGTTAATACTCTGTAATAATTCTTTAATATATTACTTGTGTGGTGTAGAAGATAAGTATTTAAGAATGTAATTATGTAAGAAGGTTAACACTGTTATAATTTTTTAGTATATTACTTGTGTGGTGTAGAAGAGAATTATCTATGTAGAAGAGAATTATTTTGTAGAGATACTGCTTGCAAACCAATGATGTAAGATGATGTCATGGGGTAGGACTGGATAAGTCTGACTTCTTCCTACTCCATTCAAGCATGTACTAGGTATAAGCAAATTGATATTGGATTAGCATTTGTTGGATATGTGTAAAATTATGTGTGTTGATATATCAACTGTCTTTACATGCTTGAAAGAATAAATCAAATCAAATCAAAATCAAATCAAAAATAGATAGATAGATAGATAGATAAAGTGGCACAAAATATGAGTCACGCATGATTATATATGTATGTTCTCTCCAAGGGTCAAAGTGATAACTTCTTAGGCAAGAGCTGTAAATTAATTCAGTGACAAAACAGGAGAATAGTAACAAATGCAAAAGTGGTGACAATGTATGTTATGCACTTGCATTTATATGTATATGTATATGTATATGTATATATATATAGATAGATAGATAGATAGATAGATAGATAGATAGATA